ATTACTGAAGTGTTTATTGTTCTTTAAAAAGAAGCCTTCATTACACTGATACTCATTTTCAATTTGTGGTCATTCTGCCCTCTTTCAAGACCTTTATATGCCAAACTTTGGCTCATTATAGTTATTATTAATTTTCTCAGTTTAGTTAATTAAAAGGTAACATGTTTATTGTAGAAAATAAACAATAATATATTTTAATGTTAAACTGTTTTAAGATTAGTTTTTAAGTAATTAGCAGTATGTCATTCCATAAGTTTGGACATTTTAAATACATTTATGTTTAATTTAAAATTATTATGATCATCCAGGTGAGCAGGGCAAACCTATGATCCCAGCTACTCCGAAGTCTGAGGCAAGACAATTGCAAGTTTGAGGCCAGCCTGTTGGTGAGTCCCTGTCTCAAAATGAAAAATGTAAAAAGAGTTAGGGATGAAGCTCAGTGGATTCTATTCCCAGTACTAAAAAAGAGTTTTTGTTATGATCATCTTTAGAAAACAAAATATGTTGAAATAATCATGTCACAGGCATTGATATCAGATAAAAGAATTACAAAATAAAATGCAAAATTAACAAGGACAAGCCATTTTCAAACTATCTTTTCAATTAGAAATTAAGGGTTTAAAACATTTAATTTTCATCTATCACCATCATTGTTATATACTCCTTGTAATTAATTGAATTTGAATCTGGATCGATTGCAGCAGACAACATTTCTTCCATTTCTTCTTGGGAGAAAGGCTCACCTGAAAGAGACAAGAAGGGAAATTTATTATTCACAATTGTCTGATTTATTTCTTTTTCTCTCTATTAGCCACTTTAATTGCCATGGAGTAATCCCACCCCATGTCACAGTTATTTTCCCTGGAGCCACAGAGTCAGTACATCATGACAGTCCAGAGGTTCGAAAGCTTGCTATTATACACCCTAGCAGGCTGTGGACTTACTTTACCTTGCAGGTGTCATGGACCAAGCACTCTATAGAATCCATCATTTCAGCCAAAACGGCAAGAGGACATAAAGGCATCATGAACAAAGTTGTTTATTTATTTAAATTAAAATGATTGAAACTGCAAAAGTATTAATCCGAAGCCCCACTCTTATAAGAAGTCTAATCACTATGTTTAGTAAAATATGGAGATGATTAAATGTTTATCATACAAAATTGCAGAAGGGCAAATGACAGACACTTGAAACTTAACAATTATATCGCTGAACATTTCCTAACCTGTCTGGCCAACTTAGTGATGCCAGCTGAACTCAGTGAGAGATGGCACTCATCAACTGTTTGAAAACTCCTCCTTGTTACAGTTTGGCCAAGTAATGGTATCAGATGAAATAAAAAGTTGGATAGAAAGTCTGTGGGTTTTAGTTGGATTCAGATAACAGCTGAGAATCATCTTGGAAAATGATTCACCAAGATGAGAAGCACACTTAAAAAAGAATGTTGAGAAGACCATGGTCTGTAATAAAGATGGGACTTTGTCCCAACATTAAAGAGAAATATAAGAACATCCAGATCACCATCTTAGACTATGATAAGACTCATCAGAGACTTATCAAAGTAACTAGTTTACCAAGGCCTGAGCATTACTTACCTAATGAGGTTAAGTCACCTGCCACCATAAACAATACTTTTTAAATTGGAATTCAGTTAGTAATACATAAATCATTCAAATAGGGATTTTTGTTTTGTTTTGATTTTGTTTGGGTACTGGGGATTAAATCCAGGGGCACTTTACAACTGAGCTACATACCTAACCCTTTTTATTTTTTGAGACAGGGTCTTGCCAAGGCTAGCCTTGAACTTGCAATTCTCTTGCCTCAGCCTCCCAAATTGCTAGGATTACAGGATCATGCAATCACACCCAGCTTCAAGTGGAGATTTTGTTGACAATGAAGATAGTACTAGAAAATGAGAGAAATGTGTAGAGTTCTCATGAAATCATGCTTACATCCTAAGAAAGAAAGAATGCCTAAAATATTAAAAACAATTTCTGAATCTTTCCTAAACCTGACTGTTAATACTAAATCCAATACCAAAGGAACTCTGATGTAAGTTCTTAAAAGAATATTACCAACCAACATTTATTGAGCGCTACGTATGCCAAGCATTGATCTAAGCGGTTCACACATATTAAACTAAATTAATTTCCCAAACACCTCACACATATTAAACTAAATTAATTTCCCAAACACCACTTACCACACACACACACACACACACACACACACACACACACACAGAGAGAGAGAGAGAGAGAGAGAGAGAGAGAGAGAGAAACAAGGCAGTCTGCTTCAGCAAGTGAGTGGGGAAATTGTTCAACTACCACTTTCCACTGCTTAGAACAAGGTCCTGCTCACAGTAAAATACAAAAGATAGTCATGATGCTTTCTTGGGCAAGGCAAGAGATAAACAGTATTTGATAAAGATGTGCCTGGGTTCAAATACTGCTATTTCCTACAGCTTTAAGATCTTGGGCATGTTACTCAATCTCTCTATGCCGCAATTTCCCTGTCTATAAAATGAAGATAATAATAATAATGTTATGAGAATTAAATATGTTATTTTTTAGCACTTAGAACAGTACCTAACACACAAGGAGTAACATGTAAGCATATTTTTTTCTTTTGAGATTTCTTTGCTGCTAAATATTACCTGGTAGAATACACATTCCTGAACATATGTGGACATCTATCTTGTAGGAACTTGATTCAATGTGATTTATAATGTCTATCATATCACTTCTTGAGTATTTAGAATGCATATTCTCAAACGTGTTTGTAAATGAAATGTGTTTGATGTTCTGTGGATACTGTGAAAAGTTGTGCCAGTAATGTTAATCTATAAAGCATAGATGTACTTCAAAACAATTTAGAATTTTGAGAATCTCAAAGCACCATTTTTTTCCTTTTTAATTGTTTCAGAAGAAGATGATAATGACAACAATGACAACTTTATTTCATTTCAGGTGTTCCCTAGACCCTATTGGGGGTACTTTATAAAAATCAGTAATTATTAACCAACTATTTTATAGTTAAATGTTACTACACTTAGATGTCTGTTATATTTAATAAAAATAATTCCTGGGCTGGGATTGTGGCTCAGTGGTACAGCGCTCACCTAGCACAGGTTTAATCCTCAGCACCACATAAAAAAATAAATAAATAAAGGCATTGTGTTGTGTCCATCTACACCTAAAAGATAAATATTTAAAAAAAATAATAATTCCTTACATTTGTGTAGTACTTTATATCTTATATATCACTATCAAACATATTAGGTCATATAATAAGAAGAATACTGACTAATATTTATTCAATGAAAAATTGAAATCATGTATATTCTTATCTAAAAATTATTATTCAATGCTTAGTATAGTTGACCTTGAAGTATTATTAATTCTCTGTAAATCCATCTTTTTGGAAATTGCCATGGAGTAACCCCACCCCATGTCACAGTTATTTTCCCTGGAGCCACAGAGTCAGTACATCATGACAGTCCAGAGGTTCAAAAGCATGCTATTATCCACCCAAGTAAACCTCCCAAGTAAACCACACAATTGCACTGTGTCTATATACATTGCTGTTACTGATTTTCCTATTTCAGTCAATAGTATTACCATAACACCCATCACCCAGGTCAAAATCTTTTTATTTTTTACTTAGTTCCCATCTTGGTCCCCTGTCTTTTGTTATTCATCATGACCCATGGATCCTGCTATAGATAGGCCTATTGCATTGCACCTATTCCTTCTTTCTATTCCCATTGTCAAGTCAGGCACTTATTAGGGGACCTTCAAAATACCAAAATAGTTCTCTAACTGATCTTCCTAGTCTAACCTCTTTCTCACTTATCTAACAAACCTACCAGCACCAGAATAACTTTCCCACAATGGCTCTTGCACTGTATGACTCATCTCCTCAAAACCCCAGAACAGGCCTGGGGATGTGGCTCAAGCGGTAGCGCGCTCGCCTGGCATGCGTGCGGCCTGGGTTCGATCCTCAGCACCACATACCAACAAAGATGTTGTGTCCGCCGAGAACTAAAAAATAAATATTAAAAATTCTAAAACAAAACAAAACAAAACAAAAAAACCAGAACACTTCTGCAATTTTCCACAGGATAAATCCCAAACTTCTGAACCCAGACCTCCATAATTTAGTCCCAGACAATCAATCTAAATTAATCTCCTATTGTTTTCCAACAAGACCCTTTGGGCCAGCTCAGCCTGTCCTTTCTCAGGCTTCCAAATGCCATATGCATTCTTGCCTCCCAGTTTTTGCTCCATATTTTGCTGACAATGTTTCCCTCTCATCAACCTTCATCCATTTTTATTCAATTACTCATTCATTCATTAATTCATAGTTAATTTTTTATAATTAATTTGAGACCTACTATATGTGAGGGTACTATAATGCATAAGATTTTATCACTGGCCTCAACAACTCATCCATGTAAATTCTACCTTCTCAAGGAACTTATTTTCTCTTTAAATCTTCTCAAGTCAAGCTTTCTAGACTGTTCTAGACTGTACTGATCCTATGATATTTTCCTACTATCTTATATTGTGACTTAATAAGTTAGCTTTGTTTCCCCAATAAGATTGTAATATCCTTGAGAAAGGAAGCAGATTTTAGTATCATTACCCCTCACTGCACTTAATAATACTGAACATATAATAGACACAGGATATTATTTAAATTGAACTGTTTTGGCCATTCTGACTAAATTCATGTTGCCTAATATAATGTAGGATTTACTTCCTTTAATCCTTAGGATTAAGAGGCTAATGCTTTGAAAGTCACAACATTCTCATCAAAGTTAATCCCTAAGACGATTTTAGCAATGTCATAGGAGTTCTTGAATGGCAGCTGTGATTTTCATGTTATTCTTACTCTCACTTCCTGTATTCTTACCTAATGGTGGATCAAGTCAAAATGGTCAAACCAGTTGTGCATGTAGACAATGTCTTAGTCCCTACTCAAAATTACTCCTACTTCTGATCTTGTCTCAAGTGATTAATGACTCTGAATCATTCAGGACTTATCTGTGAACCAGTGAACTGAACAAAGGAGACAAAACTCAGCTTTATGTGGGAGCAGGGGAGGCAAGCAATATGACAATGGTTTCCAGAGACTGTCTATCAGGCTGTTGACATTCATGGGAAACCAATTTACACACTGGCAGAGAGACAGTCTAAACAAATTATGTTTTTTGTATATGTGTGTAGTCTATGTTCAAAGCCCATATGTGTGTGTGTGTGTGTATACATATACACATACATATATATGTACATATAATAAGCTTTTATATATAAAAATAGAATTTTATATGAATTCATATTCAGTTGAGGCTATATTATCCATAACTTTACCCAGAAAAAGCTCTTTTTTTCCCCTATATTTTGTTTTAGTTGTAGTTGTACACAATACCTTTATTTTATTTTTAGGTGGTGCTAAGGATCGAATCTAGCACCCTGCCGGTGTGCTAGGCGAGCTATCTACTGCTGAGCCATAACCCCAGCCCCTAGAAAAGCTCTTGAAAAAAGAATTTTTATATACTCCAATTCAAATCTTCTATCAGTAAAGGCACTGATTTACAGTGACGGACAGTTCAAGTTTTCCAGGTGACATACCTTTTATTCTCAAAATACTCAGTGAAGTGATTACAATTTATAGAGGTTATACAAAATCCTCTGAGGCAACATCCGTCTTGCCTTACCTTACCTTTGTTCTCTTAACACCCAATAAAATAAAATAAAGACCATTCCAAAAATCAAAATAATGGGAATAGTAAACTCTTTCTAACCAGAATGACTGATTTTAAAGTATCCCCTATAACTTTTGCATAACTGTTAAAAATTATTAATCCCTTACATAAATCATGTTATAAGTAATAAAACAATCTTACCTTCTTCAGTCATATATTTGATGAGTTCTTCCTTAGTAAGAAACCCACGTTTAGCAGAATCTAAAACCTAGGGGAAATGGTAGATTTTATATGTATGAATAAGTTCTACATGACAAAATTTTCATATTTATATATGAACAATCTAGAGCTTACACACCTCAAAAGCTCGAAGAAGGACATCTTCTGGAATTGGTCTATACCTATAATTATGCCATAAAATGAGTTAATGCCAGATTGTTTGTCTCATCTCTACATAATAAATTACCACATGAAACAAAATGAAAGTTGCTAACATACTGGGATAATAAAACTTCCCTCACTGAAACCTTCTTGGATTTCTGGGTATGAAAGTGTCCAGTACTTTACCCTGACAGGAAATACTTAGCTCAAAATCACTGACATATCTAGTGTTATCTATCTGTTTGTTTGTTTGTTTAATCATTATGGAATTCAATTTCCCTGGAAACAAAACTTCTACAAGTCAACCAACTTTGTAAGTTTTACATTATGTTAAATTTTGCTAAAAAATAATCAGGATTAATTCTTATTTATGATCAATTATTCAAAACAGAAGATAATTAGAATATCAATTTATGATTTTTATAGCTTCTTTGCCCTTTGGTTATACTTTGCTTCAAATAATATTATGGTGGTTGATATTTCTAAGCACAAACAAACTGTTCATTCAGAAGTATACTGAAAGGTTAGAAGGAAGCTACCCTGAGATACTCTGATTGAGAAAAATATAAAACAGTCACGTATACTGAAATTAATGTAATTCTAATCATTACCTTGCCTTAAAATTGTTTTTACTTTCTTACCTTCTTTCCAGAAGTACTTTGGTCATCACTGGAAGAAATTTTTCATATCGAATATATCCAGTGGGTTCTTCTTCTTCTACCTAGCATGCAATAACAATATAGATATTTATTTCTTCTTCTACCTAACATGCAGTAACAATGTAGACATTTATTAATTCAACAAATGTATTGAGCAACTACTTTTTTTTTCAAGTACTCTTGCCCAAGTGCTAGGGATTTGGATATGATGAGACATTTCACAATTTACTGTTTGAGCAAAAAATAAGAAATCTATATATATACATAGAGCTAGTATTCTACTAGGGGAGACATATATTAATCAAAAAACCCACACGATGAGTGCCTAATTATAAATACATTCAAGCATAATGATGTAAAGCAACTCAGGTCTATAGGAACATATAAGAAAGGAAATTTTCTAGACCAGGGAAGTCATTCATGAGAATTCAAAGACAGTAGGAAAGAAACGCCATGCAAAAAAAAAAAAAAAAAAAAACCCAAAACTGGAGGCTCTGGGATTCTTGTGGTGATGCATCAGAGGCCATAAGGCTGAGCACAGGGAGCAGCAAGGAGGATGTTTCAAGGTGAGGCTGGTAAGAGATACAGGGACCAGACCTTGCAGTGCCTTATCATTCAGGAATGTCCTAGGAACAATGAAAAATCACTGAAGTCCTCATAGATGTGTTCTGAAAGATCACACTGGTTATAGGTGAGGTGCCTTCTTTAGTTGATTTAAGCAGATACAATGAAGGTTGAGATTAGAGTGGTGGCCATGCAGAGGGAAGTGGATGGTTACAAGAAATGCAAGAAATAAAAGTGATAGGCCTGGTGCTGTACCCGTATGGCTAAGGATAAGAAAAAGAGAGGAGTCCAGAATGAATCCCTGGATTCTGGCCTGCACAAGTGGGATAAAGGTTAGCCTTTCCCTGAGACAAGGAATGGAATAAGGAACCAGATTAGGGGCCAATAATTACCTCAAGAACACAATCACATCTCAAATCATTATATTTACTAGATCCCTACATGATTAACAGAACTAAATTATGAGAACACTATTCTTGAGAAAGAATTTTTGGGTACCAAGCATGATTAGATGAGAAAGAAACAGATCCCTGCTCATGGATTCAACTCTGATGGAGTGGCTAAACAAAGCACTGACTGACTTTAACTTTCATGTCAGGCAATTTATGAGGAGCTATAAATTTTCCACTCCCTTTCAAAAATCCTATTAAATGGCTCTTAGACCCCACATCAGCAGATGAGACTTTTCACAATTTACTGTTTGAGGAAAAAATAAGAAATCTATATGTTGATGCTAAGTGGAACACACTGTCATTCAAATGACAACTATTTTTTAAATGTTTATACTAGATTTGCACCTAGTGTGAATAAAGCCCTCAGACTCCACTATCAGCAAAATTTAACCCATCTAATGACAATGTTTCAGAATTTCTCAGTCCATCAATACATAAATAATTATCTTCAGCTGCCTATAGGACCAAGGTGAGCATTGTGTAAATTAGTGTTCATATGGCTCTGATGTGCTTCAGTAGCACTCTGCAACTCCCAGCCACAGGAGCTTCTTAAAGACAAAATGTCAATCTCATGGGATTAACTACAGAGCAATAATCTTAAAATTATAATGTTGAGTTTCTAACCAGAATTTTGCTCCAAAAGCTAGAGCAATGACTTCCCTCCTTTCCCCACAACCCCTAAGAAACCACTACGTAGCAGGGAATCTCAACCTTCACAAAACTAAAACCCTTCTTTATCTTTGTCATTTTACAAAATATCTTTACTTTTTCTATAACTCTGTCTCAATCATGTGAGAACTCACAAAAGACACATAATATATCTTTATATTGCTTCCCTGGGTTCTCTCACAACAAGCCCTCAGTGATTTGAACACAAAAGTGAAACTTCTGCATGTCATTCTTGCCTAATAGATTTTTTTGGAGCCAAAATTAATTAAAAATATTAACATAAAAGAAGATCTGCAATTAATCTGAGTAGCACAGAAGCATACATCTCATTTAGCTTTTATAAAAAGAGGGACAATGAAGCTGGGTAGGATGGTGCACACATGTAATTCCAGCAACTTGGGAGACTGAGACAGGAAGATCGCAAGTTCAAGGCTAGCCTGGGCAATTTAGCAAGACCCCATCTCAAAATAAAAACTAAAAAGGACTGGGGATATAGTTCAGTGGTAAAGCATTCCTGGGTTCAATCCCTAGTACCATAAAAAGAAAATAAAAAAATAAAAGGACAATGAACATAAACAGGGCTTCTAGTTAAAGAGTAGGAAGAAAATGCTAAGTCCCTGGGCAGATATTAAAAAAATCTTTCTATGACCCAACACTGTCCTCTAGAGGCCATATCTAATCTGTTCTTTCATACAAAAATGTATAAGCAATGGCATTTAAAAACAATATACTTTATATGACTATTCTAAACACAACATTCATGAAATGTTTAATATGTACCAGACACTGTTTTATATTATAAATTTCCTACTTAAATAACCTTTTTATTTTAGAAGAGTTTTAGTTTTAGGTTTACAGAAAAGTTACAAAATAATACAAAGAATTCTCATATATACCCCATGCAGTTTTCTCTGCTGTTTTTCTTTTTTTAAAAAAATTTTTTAGTTGTAGTTGGACACAATACTTTTATTTTTATGTGGTGCTGAGGATTTAACACAACACATTGCATGTGCTAGGCAAGTGCTCTACCGCTGAGCCACAACCTGAGCCTTTTTTATTTTTCCAAGCTTTACTGAAGTAAGATTGACATATTAAAATTGTATATACAATTTTAATATTTTAACAGTGTGATGCTTTGATAGACTGTGAAATTATTACCACAATTAAGTTAACATACCTATCACTTAATTATCTTTTTGTATGAAATGAAAAAAGATATATTCTTGGTAGATTTTAAGTATATACTACTATTAACTATAGACATCATGCTATGCATTAGATCTCCAGAAATTACTCATAACTGAAAGTTTGTACATTTTGACCAATATCTCTCTGTTTCCCCATCCCTGCCCCTGATAATCTCCCTTCTACTCAGTTTCTGAGTTCACCTTTTTTTAGATTCCACATATAAAGGAGAACATGCAGTATTTACTTTTCTGTGTATAGATTATTTCACTTAGCAAAATTTCCTCTAGGTTCACCCATATTGTCCAAAAGGACAGGATTTTCTTTTTTTAAGGCTGAATAATATTTCATTACATACACACACACACACACACATCCCACATTTTCTATGAACTTTCATCTACTGACATAAGTTGTTTCCATATGTTGGCTATTGTGAATAACGGTGCATTGAGCATGGTGATGCAGATAACTTTTTTAAATTCTAATTTCATTTTCTCCAGAATATACATAACCATTACACACACACACACACACACACACACACACACAGAGAGAGAGAGAGAGAGAGAGAAGTGGGTATCATGACAATTCTATTTTTAATTTTTTGAGGAAAATTAAATACAGTGTTTCATAACAGCTAGATCAATTCACATCAATAATTTAGAAGGGTTCCTTTTTCTCTGTATCCTCACCAATTCTTAGTATCATTTGACTTACTCTAACAGGTTTGAAATGATATCTCATTGTGGTTTGGATTTGCATTTCCCTGATGATAGTGATGCTGAAAACTTTTTCATATACCTGTTGGCCATACGTATATCTTCTCTAGAAAAATGTCCATTTGGGTCTTTTGCCTGTTTTTTAATTGGGTTATTTGATTTTGTTTCTTACTGAGTTGCATGAGTTTCTTATCTATCTTAGATAGATGAGATACATGTGCATATGTGTGTGTGTGTGTTGTGTGGTGTGTGTGTGTGTGTGTGTGTATGTGTATGTATGTAATGAAATATTATTCAGCCTTAAAAAGAAGAAAATCCTGTCCTTTTGGACAATATGGGTGAACCTGGAGGAAATTTTGCTAAGTGAAATAATCCAAACACAGAAAAGTAAATACTGTATGTTCTCCTTTACATGTGGAATCTAAAAAGGTCAACTCAGAAACTGAGTAGAAACATGATTTGCCTGTATTTTCCCTCACTCTGTTGATTGTCTTTTCATTTGGTGATTGTTTCCTTTTCATGTATTTTGATTTTTTCTAACACCATTTATTGAAGGTCTGACCTATCCCGATTGTGTATTCTTGTATTCTCAGCACCCTCAATCTACCCATACCCTACCCCCGAAAAAAAGGAGAGAAGCCTGAAACAGATCCTTCCCTCATGGTCCTCAGAAGGAACCAACCCTGCTGATATCTTTTTCTTTTTCTTAAAGCCTGATTTAAATTATTTTTCTTTAGTTGTAGATGGACACAATATGTTTATTTTATTTATTTATGTGGTACTGAGGATCGAACCCAGTGTTCCATGCATGTGAGGCAAGTGCTTTACACTGAGCCACAACCCTATCCCCCTTCTGATATTTTGATGATCTGAGATCTTCAAGCCTTCAGAACTATGAGAATAAATTGCTAAAGTTGAAGCTACTCAGTCTGGGTTACAATGTCACTAAGGCTCTAGCAAACATATAAGCATCCTTTGTATATATTAAATGTGTATGACATGTATTTATCTAAAAACCTTGAATCCCTGTCATCAGATATAAATACCTACATCTACAAAGACAAATTAGCCTAACAGACATTAAAAATTCAGAACTGTTGTAGAGTTGTTATAGGAAAAAAAAAATAGTATAGTTCAGACCTACTTTCTCCAGGAAAAAAGTCAATTAATCAACTTAACATAAAATAAATCCAAGAAAGATTCCCTAAATTATAGAAGATATGTTGAAAAAGACTACGGAGTGATTGCTACTTTTCATGAAGCCATAGTGAGAAAATCAATTTGGCTTCTTTCTGTATTAATTAGGGTCTTTAAAAAATAAAAACACAACACAAAACATGTGTTGTCCATATAGGTCGCCCAGGTGCCCGAGTAGTACCACCAGTATTAGCACCCACATAGGACTCCTGGCCACCCACCCACGCAGGAACTCTGGCCACCAGTTCCATGTAAACCCCTATCTACCAATGT